GCTTGGGATATATCAGTGAATAAAGCAAAGATCCCTACCCTTGTGGAGCTTACATACCAGAGGTGAAATAAACAATAAACAATAATATTAATAAACATAATAGCTAAATTATATAGTGTGTTAGAAGGTAATAAATGCAATGGAAAAAGGAAACATAGAGGAGGGTAAAGGGGTTGGGTTGGAGATAAGCTACAGTATTAAATAGGGCCGGGCGCGGTGGCTTATGCCTGTAATTCCAGCACTTTGGGAGGCCAAGGCGGGCGGATCACCCGAGGTCGGGAGTTCAAGACCAGCCTGACCAACATGGAGAAACCCTGTCTCTACTAAAAATACAAAACTAGCCAGGCATGGTGGCTCATGCCTGTAATCCCAGCTGCTTGGGACACTGAGGCAGAAGAATTGCTTGAACGGGGGAGGCGGAGGTTATGGTGAGCTGAGATCGTGCCATTGCACTCCAGCCTGGGCAATAAGAGTGAAACTCCGTCTCAAAAAAAAAAAAAAAATAGAGTTGTCAGGTTAGGCCTCAGTGAGCAAAGAGCAGGTGGAGGACAGGGAGCTTGCCACCCGGTTATCCACGGACATGCACACCAGGTACAGAGGACAGCTAGTGCAGCGGCCCTAGGTGCGGAGCATATCTAGGTTGAAAGGTTGGAGTAAGCTGGTTCGGGTTGCAGGGGGTATGTGGAAGTGGTGGACGCTGAGGACTTTTCATCTTCCTCAAGGTTTCCTGGCCTTCTGTTTTTCTCCCCTGCATAGCCTCCCCATCCCCCAAGGGCCACCACTAAGTAGTCTCTCCCGCTTCTTTGCTGCTAATGGTAGGAGACTTGGAGAGTGGCTCTCAGGCAGAATGATGGTTCCAGAAGACAATATACAGTTTATCAATACTGAATTTTGTAGCTTACCTCTACCACCACTGTTGTAGGGAGCCAGCCAGGCTTGGCAATGTTATTTGATAATATAATAATCATCATTCATATTGCAGCTCTGGAGTGCCTGTGCTACTGAAAACCGCTCAGTATCTGGGTGTTGGAGAGAGAAAACAGGCTCTAGAAGGGAAAGTGAACCAGGATGGTCTACAACCCTGGCATACTGAATATTGGCCTCTCTCACTGACACTGAGAGGATAATTTAGCAAAGATGTCACCCAATGATAAAAGCAGCCCTGAAATGCTTTCTTTAAAAAAAATGTGTCCTCTGAGAACACTGAGGTTTTGCCTCTATACTCTGGTTAGGTGAGTGACTTCACTTTGTCCCCCTTTATCCTATGGTTCCTCAGCTAGAGGAGTAGTCAGCAGGTGGGACAGTGAGTCACACTCTAAAATGGCTCTGTCAGCCCTGTGCCATAGGGCTGTCAGGAGCCTGGGACTTCTACAGGAGGCTTTAGAGAGGGAAGGAGGAGATGGGGTCAGATGGCACATTCATAGACTTTCAGAGTTTGGAGGGACCTTATCACCTAGAAATATGAATGTAGATCTCTTTGGCAAATCAAAATTGTGTTTTAAAGCTGTTCTGTATTTGAAATGGTATAGTGAGTTTTCTTGTGAAGAGTCATCACTCATGCTAAGTTGTTGGGGGGTTGTACACTGGGAGCGTGGGTATGAAGTAGGATGGGACCAACAATAGGACCCAGAAAGTGAAAAAAAAAGATAATATTCTTATTAAAATGAGTTGGTCTCCACATATCACCATTGTTCTTCAGCTCCACAAAGGGCCATGCAAGGGAAGGTGGGCTCATTATGGCAGGGGGAGGCCAGTCATCATGAGGGCAGATGTTCTGAAGCTCAAGGAGCTAGAGAACCACCCCTGGTCACTTGACAAGCTTTCCCCAAAGTGGAACCTGCTTCTGTGGGAATAAAATGTAAAATTAAGGTGAGTCATGTGCCCCTGCAGGTTTCAGACAGCCTGTCCTCTCTTGAGGACTCTGATAGAGAGGTTAAGTGACCTCAGGGACTGCAGATGCCTAAGTGAGGACAGGAAAAGGAAAGGTTGCTAGGGATGCCGCAGGAGATGTCCCAGGAGACATTTGTAGTTTCTGGACCAGAATGGGATTGAGGAGGTAATGGGAATAGAAGCTTTGGGTTGATATCAGTGGTCTATAATGAAGGATGTTTTAGAAGAGAGAGCAGAGATGGCTTAGCACTGAAGTTCTGAATCCAAGATATCAGGAACACTTAGGGGAGATTTTGAAAAACACAAACTCCTTCTCCCATCCGCTACCCTTACAGGGATACAAAATAGACTTTCCAGGAGAAGGTAGATGCTGCAGGGTTCCAAAGATGGAGTGAAGGCAAAGGGTATAGGTCTGTGATATGATTTCCGCACCCCATGACCTGGTTTGGTACTTTCCTGTGTTACTCCTACATTAGAAAGAGCCTCACTGCTGTCTCTTTGTTCATGGACTGTTAGGATCTTGCTGACCTGGGTGGGGCCGGCTTATCCATCTGCCAGCTTCCAGGTCAGAACCAGCCCTAGTTACTTGATAGGGCTTTCCCCAGAGCAGAACACTGCTTCTGTGGGAATAAAATTTTAAATTTCAAATTAAAAGTTAGCTGGACATGGTGGTACATAACTGTAGTCTCAGCTACTTGGGGGGCTGAGGTGGACAGATTGCTTGAGCCCAAGAGTTGGAGGCTGCAGTGAGCTGTGATCATGCCACTGCACTCCAGCCTGAGTGACAGAGCAAGAGCCTATCTCAAAATAAATAAATAAATAAAAATAAAACTTAAATATTAAGGTCTCTATGGCCAAGTAAGTTTGAGAATTAGTGGATTAAATATGGTCAACCATTTGGGTTTTTTAACCAACTCCTCAGAGCCTTTAACATACCAGCAGACATTGTGAATCTCTTAAAAGAGGGAATATGCAGTATTTCTCACACTAATTTGATTGGGGGGTCATTTTTTTCTTGAGGAGCATTTCCTCAGATCAGTGTTGCACAGAGCACACCCAGGAAGAAGTTTCACTATACTGGCATCTGTCTCTTTTTAAAAAAATAACAACTCAAAGTTAGATAGCCCTTACTCACTTATTCCTAAATTCCTGACTTTTGAGTTGGGTAAGACTACACACGTTTCCTACTCTGGAACTCCAAAGGCAGGCAGTGTTATGTCGTGGTCTTCTTAAGGCAGTCTTACAGGCAGTGCCAGCGATTCTCTGCTGTTAATAATTCCCATTGAATTGATACCCTCACATTTCCCTATATTGATCTCCCATGTCTCCCTGCAGCAGATGTTCCTAGAATACTCCTTCCCCTTGACAGAGAGGTAGACAAGGGCCAGTCAACAGGGGCGCCTCTGAGCCCAGAACGTTCCCTTAGTGACCTGGTCTGAGGGTCAGTGTGGCTGGATTGACAAATAGTAGCTGTTGACTCCCTGGTTTGGAGTTGGTTTTCTATAGGAGAAGCAACTGTTGGAGTCAGCCGCCTGAGGAATATACTTCTAGGCTGGGGTGGGGAAATGAGCTTGAAGACAAGGAACTGACTAAGTCTTAATTTGGGTAAGAAGGTTCAGTGGCGCTCACTTGGATCTCAGTTTTACACCTTATTTCCCATGCTTATTCTCTTCCTTCCCCTGCCCCAACCTGTCCATCACCACTTAACTCTCTTCCTCCTTCATCCTTCTCTTGGGTTCTCTTTCCTTCTCCACTGTTCTTCTAAGAAGACTGGCTCTCCTTCCTCCTCCCCCATCCCAATCTCTACTTCTCTTCACATCCCCTCTGTACCCCCAGCCTGGCAGCCTGCCCTGTAGGAATGTTAATTAGCATCCACGATTTAATTAATTCAGTAGCTAATTAATGATTGGGGACTGGGGGCTGGGGAGCTGGGGTGCAGGGGGTTGGGAGCTGGAGGTGACAGGGAGAAATGGCAGAGGCTGCAGAAGGCATCGCAGATGGCTGTGCGGTGGCTGGCACAGTGCCCACCGCCATGGATGCAAACACACTTGCGCGCACGCACACGTATACACACACACACACAAAAAGGAAAGGGTGATCGAGGAATCAAAAGCAAGCAGGGAAGGGCACAGGGGCCCTGGGAACTGGGGCTGTGGGGCTGGGGGTGGGGAAGGCTCTAGATCTATTTGAATCTGCTCCGGAAGTAGAAGAAGAGAAAAAAAAGAAACAACCACAGGCGCAGAGAGAAGAGAGCTCTCCCGATACCCACCTCACCCCACCCCCACCCCACCCCAGCCACCCCTCCTCCCTGGCATGGGATTCATGGGCACCAGCTGAGGACGGGGTCCCCTCCCTCTGCCTACCATAAATATTGGTACCGAGGACCCAGACTCAGAAGGATAGGACATTCCCAAAGAAAAGAGTTTTTATTTTAAGTTGCTCTAAAATATATATATATATGTGTGTGTGTGTGTGTGTATATGCATATATGCATGTATGTATATATGTATATATGAATATATATATATATTTTTTAAATTGCACCCGTTCTGGTGTGAGGGCGAAGGCGAGTGAAAGAAGGTGACTGAGCCAGGAGGAGAGCACAGATGGCTTGGTGGTGGTATGGTGTGGTGAGTTGTGGGGAGGAAAAGAGGGGGGTCTGGGAGAGGTTGGGGGCGGGCGGAATGAGGACCCTGTTTTCCTCTTTTCGTTTTGCTGTGGGTGAAGGAGAGAGAGAGAAAGAGGGAAAGTGGGTGGGGAGAGAAGCGAGACAGATGGCAGAGTGGAGAGGCGGCAGCCAGTGCCGGCACTGCCCAGCCTGGGCGGACCCAGCTCCCTCCGCCTGCCAGCTCTCCAAATGCCACCCTTCCCCCATCCTCCCCTCTCCCCATCCCCCCAGCTTGGCACTGATCTCGGGGAGAGAGAGGGAGGGAGGCTGGGCAAAGAGCATCTGTTCCCTCCATTCTCCCAGCTCCATCGGCTGCCAACCTAGGGCCATCGTCTGCCTCCATCACCCCTCCGCCCGCCCGCCTACCCACCCAATCCCAAATGGGTGCTGGATCAGGTGCTGAATCTGGCTGCCTCCTCGGGTACCAGTCACTGTGTATTGCTGTGTGTCTGCCACCGCTGCCTGGCACTCATGGGGCCGTGTGTGTGTGTATGTGTATGTGCGCACTTGTACGTGTACGCATAAGCGTGTGCTGTATGTGAGCCTCCTGGGCATGGGTGGGGGTTGGCATTGCGGTTGCCAATCTAGTGTCCAACCAGAAGGACAGAGGGATGGAGTGGAAGAAGGAGGGGAGAGGCGGGGGCACGAGTTGCTTCATGCTGCCTGCTTACAGGCATTGGCATTGCAGCTGCCACCCTTGTGCCCACGGAGATGGGAGGAGGCGAGTGGAGGGCGCAGCAGCAGGAGTCCTGTGCTCTGGGAGGAAGGCTTTGTACATGGGAGCTGTTGGCATCACATCTGTCAGGCCAGTGCCCAGAACTGGGGCAATGGAGACTAGGGGATCCAGGAAGCAGGGAGAAGGGGCAGGAATGTGTTTCTGACGTTGCTGTCCCTCTAGAAGCTCAGCTCTGAAAAATGGTTGGAGTATGAGGTGATTAGTGCTCTTCCAGCTTGAGAAAGTAAAGTGGTGGAGAGAGTAGCCAGGGAAGTGCCAAGAAACAGTCTACGAGCCAGGGAGAAGGGAGTGTGCCACCGTACCCAGGGAGAACTTGTTGGGGCTGGCAATCTGGCTCTTTGTCAGAGTATTGAAGGAGACAGCAAGGGGACCAGATGTGAGGTGGGTGGGTACTGGCACTGCCCATGGCACCTGGCACAGGCTCTGGCATTGTGTGGAACAGGGGAGGGCGACAGTGCCTCTTGCCAATCTGGTTGAGAGGGCAATGGTGCCAGGAGTGAGAAGGAAGGAGGTGAAACATTTCGGGAGGTGGGGTGTTTGGGAGACCAGACTTTTTTCCTGCCAGGTCCTCCTTCCCCTTCCCTCTTAGGCATGGGGAGTGGAGCAACAGACGGAGAGTGGCATGAGGACACAAAGGAGGAAGCACACCATTGCCAAGACCTCAAGGAAGAAGGATGGAAAGCGCTGGCAGTCCTGCCTGGCCCCCAGCCAGTTCCCTGCTGAAGATGGCCAAATCCCCTTGCCTGGTCTGTATATGCCACTTTTGCTGGGGTGGAAGGAGGGAAGGGCTGACTTGCTGAGCTGGGCTCTAGAATGGGAAGGGTACCTTTCTGCAGATCCCATTTGGACTCTCCACTTGAACAAGTGAGGTGTCTGATTTTCCTCTTCGGTACCTTCCTCTCCTCCCCCTCCCTTCGCCTCATCCCCATTTCATCTTTCATCACCACCTGGGTCCTACTGCTTGGCACCCAACCAACTGGATGCCGCCACGTTTGGCAGTGCTGCACTGGCACGTGAACATTGTCTCAGATCCTGGCACTGCGGCAAACCCAAAGCCACCAAACATGCTCATGATGGCACTTGGTGGCAGTCAGGGAGAGGGGGCTGTGCACATAGCGGTGCCAGGCATTGGGTGGAGCTCTGTGTAGGGAACTGGCATGAGAGGATGCCCTTAACAACTGGGCTGAGTCAGCACTCCCTCGTCAATCCCAGCTCTGCCTTCCTCCCAACTAGATATCCACCTCCCTCCTACCCTTACTGCCCCCAAGAAAAGGATTTAGATGGTACCATACTGAGTGTTTGAGCACCATGCGAAAGGAAACGAGCACAGAGGGACAGGCTATAGCACAGGCTGTAGACACACCCAAGGCTCCAGGCCAGTAGACCATACATATCCTTGGACAACAAGAACAGAAAAATAATACCCTAGGAGGGCTAAAGGAGGTGGAGAGAGGGACACCAGCTGTGTTGTTACCAGGATGGCACAAGAAGAGATTGGAAGGCAAGTAGGAAGGAATGACCCTCAGACTTTGCTCTTGGGTGATGGGGTGGTTTGTACCTATGCATATTTCATTCTGCCTTGTACCTTGTGATTTGCTGAGCTGTGGTTGAGATGAACTGGTTCTTTCTCCCTTGTTAAAAGGTCCATATTCAATAATAGTCCTAGGAAGATGGAAAGGTGCTCTAGGCCTAGAGAGGTAGACAGGTGTTAGGAAGACAAAGGGTCTTGTCCTTCCAGAAAGACTATGCAAGGCACCCAGTTAGAGTTGGATAGATTTCCATATCTTTGAAATCCACCCCAAGAAGGGAGATGGGATCAGCAATGATCCCTGGTAGAGGGGGAGGCCCCTAGGAGGAGAATCCCCAGCAACTGTGGTGATACAGACTAACCCTCACATAACTAGACCTTGGGCCCCCAATCTGAAAGAATTTCAAGTAGCTTTGGCTTTCCTAATGACTGGGCAGATCTTCAGTTCTGGAAGATTTGACTGTGGGTGATGTGGAAGGGAGGCTGGGTGGCTCTGGGAGATAGGACCTGCCCAGAGGTAGGAGTAAAGTCCATGCTGGGCTGAGCTGCTCAGGGCTGGGGAAGTTCTGATTTCAGCATCTCTGGAAGTGTATGGCCACTTCAGAAGAAGCAAGGTGTTTTCCACAGCAGAGAAGAAAGCAGGGAGACACTCAGCCAAAGTGGTGAGTGGACAATGTTTATATCTTTTCTCCTGTTCAAGAACAGCCAACGTAAGCAGAAGACCATGGTCAATTTCCAGTATGTTGGCGGTGGGGGTGGGGGTGATGTCAGAGTGATGAAGTCGACAAATCTGAGGTTGTGATAAGCCCTGGTGTGGTAGCCCCTAGGGTATCAGGGTTGGTCCCTGGGTGCTGAAAAGATGGGGGCAGGTCACAGATATGGTGCTAAGCTCTCTAGGTCAGTGGTCTCAAACTTCAGAGGGCATAGAATCTCTTCAGGAGTTTCTGATTCAGTTGGTCTTAGGTGTGGTCTGGGAATATGCACTTTACATAAGCACTTGTGTTGCAAGTGGACACTTGAAACATTGAGAAACACTGTTCTGAGAGATGGCAGTCACCTTTAGGGTGGTTGATCGAATCAGGGTTTCCCTTGCCTTTTGCATCTGTCTTCCCCAAACTTACTCATGTCTTTATGCTGACATGTTTGGGGATATGTGTGTTGTGGGGTGTGTGTATGCATTTTGAGTGGGAACAGTAGGAGGAAAAGGAGAGATTGTGAGGTTGAATCCAGCAAATGTAACTTGTTAGAACAGTGATCCTCATTGGCAGTAGTTACCACAGAAGAATCCTTTAGGGAACACTTTCAAAATTCACTCTTCCTTCACCCCCCAGATTCTGATGACTGGCTGCCCGTGGGTTTCTGAAACCTCATCGTTGAGAATCACTAGCTTAGGAACATTGCCAAGAGATTATTCTCTGTGATCAAGTCAATATTGTGTAGATTTTGTGGCTAGGTACAAGATGGGTCCTGGAGGCAGGCCTGGGTTCTGGGTAATGGAAGTAGGGATCCACAGAGTATAACTCAGCCTACTGTTGATACTCAGCAAATGGCAGAGGATGCTGTTGTTTGAGCACTTGGTGGAGACATCTGGAAATGAGCACTGCATGGGTCATTCTTCATGTCCAATTGAGAAGACTTAGTGCAGGGTTTGGTATCAGGGAGGACTTATAGATATGGGACAGTACTGAGCCCCTGCTGATTACTGGTTGCAATGTCTTAGCCATTGTTTGTGTAAGAATATGTGTGCAGTTGGGTGGGATTATGAGTCAACCTCAGGTGCTGCATCACCTTTCCCCCTCTTCTTGGACAGGTTCAGCTTGCTCTGGTCTACCTATACTCAACCTGCTTCCCCATTAGCTTCTGGCCAGACTTCTTTCCATGGCTGTGGAATTGCAAGAAATACCATACTCAGACTACTGACAGAGAATAATGACATTTACCCCTTGTCTGTGCTTTGTGTGAGGGCTGTCTGGGTCCTGTATATCAAGGAGCATCACTGGGTGGTCACGCAATTGCAATTTTATGTTCTTCCCATAATGTGTAGTTTCTCTCAAGAGGAATTGCCTTCATGATTACTTCCTATCTTTCCCCAAACTTGGTGGGCCATGGTCTAGGTCTTCTGCAAATGTCCTCTCTCAAATTTGCCTTCGTCCGATCTTTTTATAATGTATCTGAGCTATAATCCTGTAGACCCTGAGGCTGGGTCTATGGACTTGTAGCAAGAGCTTTCTCAGTATAAAGGCATTTCTTCCCAATTCAGTCTTCTAGAAATGACACTTTCATGGCTTATAAGTTTCTGACTGGTTGCTTCTGAGAGAAATGGTCCCCCAATACCTGGCCATTCGCCAAAGTTTACCCTGTGTTTCATGGTGATATCACATGAGTTTTCCCAAAAGTTTCCTCCTAATTTGCCTCCTACATATCTCTTCCCTGATGTCCAGAATAATTTAAGGTCCTCTCCCCATAGGGTTTTTTGTTTGCTTTTTGTGACTGTGAGGAGGGGAGTGGACCCCCCAACCATGTACGTGCCCTCGCTACTGCCATCCCCCCGTCACCTCTTGACTGCCAGCAACGGCTGGGTATGGGCCCAGTGCCCATCCATTTTCAGGGCTAGTTGATTTGGCAGGTGAGTTGTTACACACTCCTTAGCAGATCCTCTCCCCATATGTTAATACTCAACATTTGGTCACTTTTCCTCTTACTGGTTACTTTTTCCTCTCACTTTCTGTGTTTATAAGTTTTTTTCTACCTACTTTTGTGTGAGGAAAATTAGCATGTGTTGGAGGGTGTTTCTGCTTATGGGAGTATAGGTCATAGGTCTTGGGGTATGTCCCTTGTACTTATACATATGCCCATGGGGCCCCATCCTTGCTGGCACTGGTGTGTTTCTCTGTAGCCCCCTCTGCTGGGGTCTGCTGCTGTTTCTGAGGGTGTGTTTGTTTCACTGGTATAGTAATATACATGGAGCTCTGTATTTCAGATTTACGTATCTTTCCAGGGATGAATGACTGTCTTAAAACAGATCACGGTGGTGGAGATTTGGAGAATCCGTGATCTGAAAGTGGTTATAAGCCCTGAAAGTGGTTAAGAAACAAGTACAAAGAATTAAGCAGATGGGTGCTATTATGCCTGGAATAAAAGGCTTGCTTGGTTCTTAAGCATGCTTGTGTAAGTATACTCCAGGGCTAGAGGGGTGGGATAGAAACAGATTTCTTTATGTGGTTCTGTTGCAAACTCTGTCCTGTTTGGCCATTAAGGCTTCAGATTTTCTCATATTCTTCTAGCAATGTTTTTGCTCCTAGTTGAGGATTGGACACCTTACGCCATCCTCACACAGACTCTGGTTTAGAGCAAAAATAGCCAAGATCACTTTCACCCCCTGCCTCTCGGTCTGACCCTGGTCGTTAAGTAGGGCAGAGCTCAATTTGGGTGCCTCTTTAAGGACGAGTGTATGTTAGAAGCCCTAGGGTGGGGGTGGGGGAGGTACCGTAAAATAGGTGTTATTGTGCCAAATGGTTGAGTTAAGCCTGTTACTCCACAAGAGAAGTGCCATGATTTAATTCTGGTGACTTGACATTAACCTCTAGGATCCTGCAAAGGATTGTGCTGACTCAGCCTTCTGTCCACCAGAATGCCCACTGTGTATTGCTCTCTGGAGCAGGAGTGCTGCCGCTAAGGACTTCTGGTCTGAGAAAGGGGCTGGGGAGGAATGCTTCCAGCCACTGGGAACGTGGAATGGTGCCCCCTCAGGAAGCATGTTAATTGACCTAAGTCAGCAGAGTCAGCCGAGCTCTTTTGCCCCCCAAATTCCAGGGCTCCAGGTAAGTACAGTGACTTAGCATCAGCTCATATGTGCTGTTGGGGCTGCACACGGTATTGCCAGGCCAGGGTATTGGGTGTAAAAAAACATGTTGCGTGACAAGAGGACGGGGGATTTCTGGTTACGTCAACTCTTGGTGAAAACACTCATAGTTCAAACTAAAGCCAACCTACCCTGGCTGTAAATTCTTAAGATACAGGACACCACACCTCTAACCATTCCATGCCAGGTGTTTGTCGATGATTTCTTTAAAACGTTTCCTTTTTCTCGTTTTTGTTCTAAGTTGTTTTTGGTTTCCAACTTTTATACACAAGTCACATTCCCAGAAAGCACAAGTGGAAAATCTTCTTTCCTCAGATACATGCTGCTAAGAAAATAGTTTTATACACAGAATTTCA